GATCAGATGCAACATCAGCACCCAGGACAGAAGGGCACAGCTGGGATCCCCCTTGAGTCCTCCTGAGAGGCTGCAGGGAGGGTGCTCCTTTTCCTGGATCACAAGGCTTCCTGTGCCAATCACTGGATATGTGCAGGGGCAGTGGCTCAAGGGAACTCGATGGACAGGGGGCTCCAAGTCTGGTGGGGACTGAACCTGTGGTGCCCTCTGGGGTCTGTGCTCTGCAGGGAGTGAGACGCCCCTGCTTACAGGGAGTTGCTCAGCCTGGGCATCCTGCCCAGTACTTAAGCACTTCAGAACTCACCTGGACCTTGGGGTTTGGTTAAAGGGACATTAGGCACTCCTGAGCGCCTACTGTTTGCTCAGCTCACCACATGCCTTGCCATAGCCCTGGGCAGTGGGGGCCCCAAGAGCTCATGTTTAATATCGAGCTCCATGCTGGTGCCTTCACGCTTCATGCAGGTACCACTCCACACAGTTCTTGGGTGTCCCAGAAGAAGGGAATTGGGTGCCCCAGACCAGGGGTTGATGCAATACCCACTCTGGATTGCACGCTTTCAGCGGATTGCGGAGGATTAGAGTTTAGTGTGTCTAAGTGGATTGACGGATTATATGATCTTTTTCTTTTTTTTTTTTTTGAGACAGAGTTTCACTCTTGTTCACCAGGCTGGAGTATAATGGCACCATCTTGGCTCACTGCAACCTCTGCTTCCTGGGTTAGAGTGATTCTCCTGCCTCAGCCTCCTGAGTAGCTAGGATTATAGGCATGCACCACCATGCCCAGCTAATTTTGCATTTTTAGTAGACACAGAGTTTCTCCATGTTGGTCTGGCTGGTCTCGAACTCCCAACCTCAGGTGATGGCAGATCACCTCAGCCTCCCAAAGTGCTGGGATTACTGGCGTGAGCCACAGTGCTCGGCCTGTATGATCTAGTTTTAACCAAACTCATCTTCCAAAATGGCCGAGTGGCTCACACAAGATTCGTGTAAGGAATCTGCAATGAACACCAGAAATCCAGAGGAGGTGAACCACAGCAGAAGGGAGAGCTAGGAATTCCTTATTACTCCTGGCTGAGCTCAGGGTACAGACCTGACCAGAAGTTAGCCCCTAAAATAAAAATTCAGCAAATAAAACTCTTTGAATTTCCCCCACTCTGTGGTTACTGCTGAAGTTTGCCCAAGGTGCCTTGTGCCTGGAGCTGTTAAGTCATCAGCAGTGTGCAATCCTCATGGTTGGCAAGGTGTCTAAAACTAAGCTTCCAGAACTGAAGAGAAACCTGTGCAGTCTTTTTTCCCAGCAATATTTAAAGTCTTGTGCTGTTCAACCCAGTCCTTCTTAGTTATTTCCCTAAGCAATGATAAATATTTGGAAAGCTCTTTTAAAGTTTCTTGCAAGATAGCATGAAACAAAAAACACCTACCAACGGGCAGACACTTACTCTTTCTGCTGCAGGAAAAATGGCAGAAACAATGAGCAGTAAATGATCTGTCGACAAACCGAAAGGCATTTCTTTGTCAGCAAACACCGTCGGAAGATGTAGAGAAAACACTGCCGAAGATTGGAAGAAACTCGTGTTAGAGCAAATTACCCAGTGTGGGAGGTTTGCTTCGCAGTGAGCTGAAAGCACAGATGTTTCCAACATGGCTCAGCTGAAGGTATTTGCCAGGTGCTGTTCCAATACTGAAATACACAAATCGCTTCTTTCTTTTCTTTCTTTCTTTCCTTTTTTTTTTTTTTTTTTTTTCATGAGCCACTAAAGGGAAGATAGAGCAGACAAGATATATTGCCAACAGTAAATGCCTTCTTTAATAAAAACAATGTCATATGGGAAAATGGTAAAAATGCAACCACAGATAGAATAGCTACTCAGAAAGGGATTTTTAAAAAAGGATTCTGGATATGAATCAGGGTGCAGAGGTAGCTTCACCCTTACCCCTCACTCATTGGCTCATCCATGGTCTAATCAGCGCAGGGAAGAGGTAGAAGCCTGGAGGGCACAGAATATTGCAGGAGACCGACAGTAGGCTCATGTTATACAGCCAAGACTGTGGCATTAGAGTAGAATCTTTCCCATACTTGGTAAGGAGACTGGGTGTGACCATGAAAACTTTCCAGCCACACAGAATGACTTATCTTCATGGCAAAATACTGAAGAGGGTTGCCCCAAGTTCCCCTCCCTCTCTGTTAACTTTCCCTCTCTATGTATGTATGTATGTATGTATGTATGTATGTATGTATGTATGTATTTTGGAGATGGAGTCTCACTCTGTCGCCCAGGCTGGAGTGCGGTGGCACCATCTCAGCTCACTGCAACCTCCACCTCCCAGGTTCAAGCGATTCTCCTGCCTCAGCCTCCTGAGTAGCTGGGACTACAGGCACCTGCCACCAAGCCCAGCTAATTTTGTGTATTCTTAGTAGAGATGGGGTTTCACTGTGTTAGCCAGGATGGTCTCGATCTCCTGACCTTGTGATCCACCTGCCTCAGCCTCCCGCGGTGCTGGGATTATAAGCGTGAGCCACCGTGCCCAGCCCTCCCTCCTTATTTTTTAAAATTTATCAGTAATTTTTAATTTATTTCTTCCCTGTGATTTTTTTCCCTGTGAATATTCTTTTTTTAAAATTTAGATTCAGGGGTACATGTGCTTGTTTATTACATGGGTAGACTGCATACTGGTGGATATTAGGCTTCTAGTGAACCCAATACCCATAATGAATTTGTACCCGATAGGTAATTTTTCAATCCTCACCCCAACTCCTACCTCCCTCCTTTTTTTGAGAGGGAGTCTCGCTCTGTCTCCCAGGCTGGAGGCAGTGGTGTGATCGTGGCTAACTGCAACCCCCGCCTCCAGGTTCAAGAGATTCTCCTGTCTCAGCCTCTGGAGTAGCTGGGATTATAGGCCCCCACCACCCACCTGGCTAATTTTTGTATTTTCAGTAGAGACAGTGTTTCACCATGTTGACCAGGCTGGTCTCAAACTCCTGACCTCAAGTCATCCGCCTGCCTCAGCCTCCCAAAGTGCTGGGATTATAGGTGTGTGGCACCATGTCTGGCTAATTTTTGTATTTTTACTAGAGATGGGATTTCACCATGTTGATCAGGCTGGTCTCGAATTCCTGACTTCAAATGATCTGCCCACCTTGGCCTCCCAAGTGTTAGGATTACAGGCATGAGTCACCGCACCTGGGCTCCCTCCTTCTTAAAGACCAAAGTGCTGACACTTTTGAGATGACAAGAGCTATCTGTTTTAGACAATCAGGAAAAAGCTTGAAAAATAATTTTACTTTTCTTGCATCTGCTCCTTCAAGGTAAAGATGTCCTCTCAATGAAAAAATGAGAAAGTAATCATCTTGGAAAGAAAACTCATGCCAAAGAAAACATTTGTTAGAACTGAAGTTTGAGAATGTTTTCATTGACATGTGAATTTTGTGGTCAAAAATGTATTTGACTGATACAACCCTCATCCCTACATATTTAAAAAAAACTTGAAAGCAGATTATATATTTGAATCTGTTTTTTAAAATTTAGATATAATTTACATACCATAAAATTCATCCTTTTATTTCGTTTTTTAGACATAGATTCTCACTGTGCTTCCCAGGCTGGAGTCCTATGGCTATTCACAAGTGGGATCATGGTCCTCCAATATTTTTGTGACAGCTACTAAAACCCAGAATTAAAAAAGAACGACCCTGAGAGCCAGGCCTTCAAACTGATGTTTTACAATTTTATTTCAAGGTTTTAGTAAATAAGAAAGCATATTGAATCATGTTACTATTTCTTGCAAAAGCAAGATGCTTTTTCGCACCTTTGTAAATGTACAAATAAATTTGTAATACTGCAAAATTTGCTGGAAAATGTGGTTGATTTCACCTTTATTTAATTCTTTTCAATGTTCTATTGGAGCAGGTGTGGTACTCACTAAGTATGGCTCTATTGGGATGGGTGCTCCAGAATGCTTTTGGAGGGAGGTCACAAACACCTGGAGTCAGCTTCTTCCTCACCTCTCACCTGGGCCTGTCACCACCCCCATACTCGGCCCAAAAGACCAGACGCTTCTCCTGGCAGCAGCCAGAGTGCTCATTTTCCAGCCAGGGTGAGTCACAGCCCTCCTCAAAGACCTCAACCACACCCCTGTACCCAGACTTCATGGTCTCCCATGCCCCACCCCCACTCTCCTGACCCCTCAGGCTTTCCCCACTCTACCCACCTACCCCCACCCCTCTGATCCAGTCCTTGGCCTCCCAGAGCACCTTCTGGCACTGTCCCAGGGCCTTTGCACTGCTGTGCTGCCTTGCTCAAGCCCCACTCTATTCAAGTGTCTTGCTCAATCGTCTGCTCCTCAGCAGCCCCTCCTGGTCTGCGTTATCCACCCCTCCAGATACCGTGCCCTCACTCACTCATGATTTTTCTCCTAGGAAGTAGTACCGGCATTGCATTGTCTAACACTTCCTTTTATTATTGCTTTGTCTCCTAGGAGAATGGAGACCTTCAGGAGGCAGGGGAGTCTTCCTTGTTGAGAAATCTATGCCCAGCATCCAGATGTCCCAGGAGGGTCCATGGGCTCTGGGCTGCTGCCCTGTACCCAGAGCTCCTCAGGCGCTCCTTGGATCTCCTGACCTGGAATGGGCACTGGGGGTCGGGAAGCATCTGAGTGACTGTGACTTGGGGCAAGCCTCTGCCTCATTGGTCCCTTGGTCAGGTGCAGGGGTGTGGAATGATCCTAGTGGGGAGGCAGCAGAGGATTGTGTCAAAGCCCCCATGGGGATCCCCACCCCAGCAGCCTCCTTGGGTGGGTTGCAGAGTGGCGGGAAGCTGCTCTTCTTCAGGTGTCCTGATCCACCCAAGTGTTTGGGTCTACCAGGTGCTATGAGGATTGAAGCTAAGAACGATGGGGCACACAGTCTCCGTGTGTCGTATCCAGGGTTGGAGGACGTCTCTGGGTCCAGGCCTACTTGGTCTTCCTCAGGCTAGAGGCAGGGTGGGGGCTGAGTGGTTTGGGTCCCTTTATTGTCTGGGGTGCAGGCAGCCGCATGGCACAAATCCGCAGTCTCTGGGGTTGGGAGGAAGAATCAGAGAGCAGCTTGGGGGGAGGTCCTGGGAGTCCCAGGCTCAGCTCCCAGGGCGCCCTGGGTTCCTGCTCCCTGAAGGGGATGCAGAGGGAAGAAGGGCAGCGCTGCTCCAGCTAATGCTGGTTTATCTCTAGGGGATGAAGGTCCAGCGGCAGGTCACCTGTATGTGTTCACGCCGAAAGTGGCAGCTCAGGACGGGGAGCAGGGCAGGACGCCTGGAGGTGGGGAGCAGGATAACTCCAGGGTGGGGCGCTCAGGGAGCAGCGGCCGGCCCCAGCAGCAGCAGGGTCCCGGCCAGCAGAGGCAGCGACGCGGGAACCGGGTGCGCAGCGTCGGTGGTGCCGGCCGGAGCGGGAGGCGCGGTGTAGGTAGTGCCGGCGGGAGCGGGAGGCGCGGTGTCGGTCGTGCCGGCGGGGGGCGCCAGGTCGCAGGCCGTGTAGGGCTCCAGGCAGGCGGCAAAGGCCATGACGTGCGCTACGAAGCTCTGCTCCTGCACACCGTGCACCAGGTGCGCCTGAGGACCGCGCGCGAACACCGCCACGTCTTCGCCTCCGTGGGTCTCGGACGACAGGGGCACCGCTGCCTGCTGCCGGTAATCGGGGCTCCCTGGTAGGAGGGTGAGTGCAGTTCAGGGCAGGCGGGCGGCGTCCCCCTCCCGCGAATGCCCCGTCCCTGGCACTCTGGTCCCCCTGAGCGGGCCATTCAGCCTCACTCACCGCTCTCACTCTCATTCACATCTGGCCGCACGCCTGAGTTGAGTACGTAGCCCGGGCCATTGCCGTACAGGATGGACGTGTAGGCTTTGCTGTCCAGAGCCTTGCTGGGGGCCAACCCTGTAGGGAGACGGGGGTCCCTGTAGTTGAGCTGACCACAGCTGTGGGAGTGCCTCCTATGTGCTAGGCACCACCACTTTGCCTGTTCAGGGGCTCTGTCCTCACAATAGGGCTGGTGCCAGCATCACACACATTTGGCAGAGGAGAAAACTGAGGCTCAGACTCCACCCACAAAACTGATGCAGCAGCACCTGCCACTCTCCCCAGGCCTACCGAAGATGGAGCTCCCTCGCAAGGTGTAGCCACCAAAGGAGAATACGTGGGAGTGGTCAGCAGTGATGAGGGTCAGCGTGTCCTCCTCGCTGGTGAGCTGGCCTGCCCTCTCGATGGCGTCATCGAACATGACCGCCTCGGTGAGCGCATGGTAAGCCAAGCCCGCATGATGACCATGGTCTATGCGACCACCTGCAGGAAGGCCAGAGGAGGGTGATGCTTGAACTTGCCCTGCCCTGCCCCGCCTTCCTCCACTCCCCAGGGGCCACCACACACCCTCCACAAAGAGGTAGAAGCCGCGGGGGTTCCTGCTCAGCAGGCGCAGGGCAGCCTCTGTCATCTCCAGCAGGGAGGGGTCCAGTGTGGGGTCTCGGTTGATCTCATATTTCATGTCTCCGGGTTCAAAGAGGCCTGTGGGACAAGGGGCTTGGTAGTGATTGGCAGGCTGTGAGCAGGAGAGTGCTGGCTGATGTGCACACAGGCTTGGATGGCACCCTCTGAGGCCGTCTGAGGGATGCCAGGGCAGGAAGGGGGTCATTACCCATGAGATGGGTCACAGACTGGTCCAGGGATGCCTGCATGAGCTCAGTGCGGTTCCACACATACCGGGCACCCTGCAGGGATAGAGCCAGGCCTCAGCCCACAGCCCTGAGGCCCACACACTTGCCCTGCCCCTGCCATGCCTCCCACACCTGCCAGCCCCCGTCACCTGGTGCTTTGTCAGCCATTCCTGCACCAGGTACTTCCCGTCCAGTCTGATTCCGTTCTGGCTGGCATCACTTGGGTACTCAGGGTCTGGGGCCCCCCTGGGAAACATGTACTTGCGGCCTCCACCCAGGATCACCTGGGGACAGAGGATGGGGCAGGTGGGTTGGGGGCCTAGTTGGCCCCACGTCCCCTCCTCATGCACAGCCCCTGGCTCCCCTCCCCAGGGCAGTGGGAATGGCCCAGGCTGGGTTGCACATTCCACGTGCCCAACCCCACCTCCAGACCCTGCTGACCCGGATCAGGCTTTTGGTTGCCTGGATCTGAGCCTGTGCCCCCACCTTCCCCTCTGCCTAGCCCCAGCCCTTGGCCTTGGGGTCGCACGTCAATGTCCACGTTGGAGATGAGCTGTGTGGCAATGTCCTGGCAGCCATCCTGGTGGGCCGAGGCAGGCATGTCAGCATCTGAGTACCAGTTGCGGTTCACCGTGTGTGCGTAGGTGCCGGCTGGCGAGGCATGCTGCACCCGTGTGGTGGTCACCACTCCCACTGACTTTCCTGAGGGTGACAGGGGTCAGGATTGGTGACCGAGGTCTTGGGCCTGGTCCTGACCCCGCAGCGGGCCCTAGCTCACCTGCTTTCTTGGCCCGGTTCATCACGGAGATGACCTCATTGCCGCGTGTCGTGTTGCACTGGTTATAGCGGGCGGCTGCACTCAAGCCGATGGTCTGGTAGTTGGCCTTGACCCCGCACAGGTAGGCTGTGGCTGTGCCTGCGCTGTCTGGCACCTGTCTGTCCACATTGTACGTCTGGGAATAGAGACACCCTGAGCTCTACTTTGGGGCTTCGGCAGCATTTACAGCCAGGGGCAAAGTCCTACCCTGATTTAAACCCCGGCAGCCTGTACTGCAGCTGGTTCCTAGTATCCCCACTTCGCCTCCCTCCTGCTGCGCCCAAGACATGCAGGGGCCCTGGGTGCTGCTGCTGCTGGGCCTGAGGCTACAGCTCTCCCTGGGAATCATCCCAGGTAATGAGGCTCCCCAAGCTGTTCTGCACACAGGCGCCCTGCCAGGCTGACTGATCTCTCACTCTCCCCCTGGCCAGCTGAGGAGGACCCGCCTTCTGGACACAGACCCCAACCAGGGCCTGTGGTTCTGGTCCTCTGGGGTCTGCCTGCTCCCAGCTCTGCTCAGGCCCCAGCTGTCCTGGCTCCCTCCTCTTACACACTCCATATCCTTGACCCCTCTCTCTGGCAGAGGACTCTGAAGTGGCAGCCCTTACCTTGGATAGCGCCACGTATGGGAAGCGGTCTGGCCAGGGCGTCTCAGGCCCCAGTTTGCCCATTCTTCTGCCCTTTAGGATCTGTTGCTGTGCGTGGGCACCCCCATCCCTGGAAGGGGCAGAAATGTGTGAGTCCTGGGCCCCAGGGCTGGCCTGGAATCACCAGAGGTCCTAGGTGCTGGGGCTGTGAGGGCTGCGGGGCTGGATAGGCCTTGGTCACTCACCATCACCCAGGAAGAGGATGAGGTTCTTGGCGACCTTCTGGATGGGCTGCAGCTTCTTGGCGGCATCCAGGGCCTCAGCTGCATGGCGGTTCCAGAAGGCTGGGTTCTCCTCCTCAACTGGCCAGAGAAGTAGAAATCCAGGTCAGCCTGGTGAGGGCACCTGTGTGCGGAACAGCCCGGGAGCCTCATTCCTGAGGGGATGATGCCAGGAAACTGTAACCTCAGGCCAACAGCAGCAGCAGAGCCCTGCATGTCTTGGCGGCAGTGAGACAAGGCTCCGGCTGCAGTGCAGGCTGCCTGGGGCTAAATCGAGGTAAGGACTGCCCCCATTCTGTAAATCTCCATCCCTCCCCCACACCCCTTGTGTCCATCTTGACCCCACCCAGTCCTGTGACCCAGAAGCCAGAAGCACGCTGAAGGAAGGGACCGTGTGGCAGCTCATAGTGTCTTGTGGGAGATCCGTTGCCACTCCTTTGTTCACCTCATTCAAGGTGTGAAGAGAGGTGAGACTGGAAACACACAGCCTAGTCCAGGGCCCAGGTTAGGGCTCATCCTTACGAGCCCAGAGAAGTGTGAAAGGAGGCATGTGGGGTGGCCTGGCTGCCCTAGAACCCACTTGGTGTGTGTGGGTGCCCACATCTATGTCCTGAGGACACAGGCTGGGGAGGGGCCAGTGCCCTGGGTTGGCCAGGCCTGGGCTGGGTCTTCCACAGCAGCTTGTATACTTGAGGTTGACCCCTGTTTTCTTACACAGGTAGATTGAGCCTGGGGTGAGTCTGTTTTCCATGAGCCATGGGCACACCCAGAAGTGTAGCCTCTGATAAGGAGCTCAGAGAGTTTGGTGACCTCAGGCTGAGTTCAAAAGTATTACTCAGTCAGACATCCCACTCTGGAGTGTGTAGTCAAGGAATGCAAACCAGGGACTCAGAGCAGATACTGCACCATGTTCCCAGCAGCATTATCCACAGCAGCCAAGAGCTGGAAGCAACCAAGTGTGTCCAACAACAGAGGAATGGAAAACCAAACAGGGTGCACACATACAATGGAGTATCATGCAGCCTTGAAAAGGAAAGGCGACCTGACACCTGCTACAACGTGTGGATGAACCTTAGGACATTATGCTTGTAAAATGCACAGTGCAAAAGGACCAATACGCATGAACACACTTCTCTGAGGTCCCTAGGGGAGTCAAATTCATAGAGACAGAAGTGGAATGGAGGTTGCCTGAGGCTGAGGGAGGAGGCAATGGGTTAGGGTTAGGGTTAGGGCTCGTGTTAGGGTTGGGGTTAGGGTTACAGTTGGAGTTTAATGGGGACAGAGCTTCAAGGTTGCAGGATGAGAATGTTCTGGAGATCAGCTGCACTGTTTGTGCGTGTACTCAACACTGCCCGTCCTGTACCCTTGAAAATGGTGAAGGAGGTAAATCTGATGTACCATGTTATAGCACAATTCAAGAAACTGGTTCCCGAGAAGAAAAGGCTCCTCCAGCTCCACCCACCCCAGCCCAACCACAGCAGCCCCTTCTCACTCCAGGCCTGTTTACCTCAAACCCCAGGCTTGGCCCTCCAGAGCCCAGGACCTCACACACTGCAACCTCTGCCTGCCCCTGCCCCACTCCACACCATGCCCAGGAGCCTCCTCGCCACCGAGAGCTTTCCGGGTCCTCCTGCCTGCATCCTGCCTGGCTTCCTCCTGGTCATCCTGGGGCTCTCAGGGAAGATGTCACCCTCATGGGCCCTTCCTGCCTCCTGCTTGTTGCCCCCTTAGTTCCCTCTACCTCTTGCTTCATCTTGCTGAGTAGAGAACATTCTTAGCTAAGGAGTCAGAGGAGACTCACTAATGGGCAGGCAATTAATTCATTGATTCACTCCAAAGTCGAATGAGTCAGGGGCTTTATAGTCACCATGAGTTTCATGTTTAAGTTGGAGTTTTTGACAGAACTATAGATTCACAAGTGTTGTAAATAATGAAGCCGGGTGCAGTGGCTCATCATAATCCCAGCACTTTGAGAAGCTGACGTGGACAGCTCTTGAGGTCAGGAGATTGAGACCATCCTGGCTAACACAGTGAAACCCATCTCTACTAAAAATACAAAAAATTAGCCAGGCGTGGTGGCATGCACCTGTGGCTCTACGAGTTACTTGGGAGACTGAGGCAGGAGAATCGCTTGAACCTGGGAAGGGAAGGTTGCAGTGAGCCAAGATCGTGCCACCGCACTCCAGCCTGGGTGGCAGAGTGAGACTCTGTCTCAAAAACAAAACAAAACAAAAAAAACCAGGCAATAATACAAGAGGCCCGACACAGTGGCTCATCTCTGTAATCCTAGCACTTTGGGAGGCTGAGGCAGGAGGATCACTTGAGCTCAGGAGTTTGAGACCAGCCTGGGCAACATGGAAAAATCTCATCTCTACAAAAATACAAAAAAATTGTGAGCGAAAAGAGCGTGCTCATAATAGTCCTCCACAGGAAATAAATAACCTTTGAGTCTGGTGAAATTCTCTCTCCACTGCTTGGGAAGCTGAGGTAGGAGAATCACTTGAGCCCAGGGAGGTGGAGGTTGCAGTGAGTCAAGACCATATCATTGCACTCTAGCCTGGGTGACAGAACAAGACCCTGTCTCAAAAAAAAAAAAAAAAAGAAAAAGAAATAGTACAAGAGATGTCATGCCTTTTGCTTGAAGTCTCCCCCAATGGCATAATCCACAGTTCTTATTCAGATTTCCCCAGTGTTACCTGTATTCATGTGCATGTGTGTATGATTTGTAGACAGTTTTATCACCTAAGTAGGTTTGTGTAACTGCACCATAGTTGAGATGCTGAAGAGCTCCAACCCCCACAGAGTCCTTTTATAACCAGAATACCTCTTTCCTCCACCTCTTCCCTTTCCCTAATCCTTGACAACCAGATATGTGTCACAAGCTGGGTGACAGAGTGAGACAACATCTCAAAAAAGAAAAAGAAAAAATAAAGAAATGCTTTATGGACTTTCATAGTTCCTACCTTTGCCTAGTTTCACTGCCACCTAATTTGCCATCTCCTATAACAAGACAAAGCATGCTTTAGACTCAAAGCATCTAAGGAGGCTGTAAGGACATTGCTTTTGGTGTGTGTGGAATACACAGTGGCTTCTGTTTGTAGTAGAGATGGTGGTCCTCCATTTTCAGTTATAAGTTTTCTTTTCTAATAGATTTAAGGAAAATCTG